AATAAATAAATAAATAAACAAACAAACAAACAAACAAACAAACAAACAAGATGGCTGAAATCCCTTTGGCAAAACTTCGCCTCTACAAGGATGATGACATTACTAGCAAGCTGACATCATCATCTTGTTCTGTGTAAACCATCATATTGCACTTAGCGTATTTCCTTTATTTGCATGGGCATTATGGGAGCCACAGCATGGAAGGAAGAAGTCTTTAATTATCAAAAATAAGTGCTGTCATTACCAGCAGGGTGAGATTTTGGGGAATTAAATATTTCTTTTTTCCATCTTGTGGTTTCCACTCGATGAAGGGATTATATAGGAGTCAAAAAGATCACAGGGGGACAGCAGGAAGTTAACATTTATGGTGAATCACCCCTGCTTGTGACATCATCGTCCTTCCATAGATGTAAATTACACAATGGGATTTCAGACCATTAAAAAAACAACAAAGTTTGATAAAGATATTCTTTAGAATACAACTAAGATTGTGGGGAAAGATCTATGAGACAACTTGGGGAAGTACTACTTTGGATCATAACTCCCACATTCATTATGAAAGTTGTGGCATTCTGGGAACTGCTGTCCAAGAAAGTAATCTTCCAAAACTCAGTGCCAGAAGTGTATAAAATTGAGCAATACTGAATAAAAGTGAAGTATTAAAAAATAAAAATAAAATCAGAAGTTGCTCTTTGGATCCAACCTACAGTTTTTGTTTTAAAAGAAAGCAACCTTTTTCTTTCTTGAAAATGCAAGTCACTTAGGAAGTTTACAGACAGCCAAAATGCTTCTGGTGTTTTTCTTTGCTCATTGTGGTTTATTTTTTATTTTTCTGGATACATTGTTTTCTGTCAGTTTGTCAGTTACTTGTTCCTCAGGCAGCTGCTTTCACCACAGTGTCAAAAAGGAAAACATATCTGACAGCTGTTAAGAGTTTTATGCCCTACAAATAGCAAATATGAATTAGTTCACAAATGTAAAAGGACACTGTCAAGAAGTTCAGCCTCTGTGGGTTTTTTGTGCTGGCTAAAAGAAAAGGAAAAAAAAAACCAAGCTAAGTAACCTAGCAAATGCAACAAACATAGCTTTTTTTGTGAAATTAAAGCAACTCTAATAAAAAATAGAGAGCCAGCTATTCATCTTCACATTAGTCTTCTTCCTTTTCCTCATATAGATCACAAATAATTAAAACAGGTATCTTTATTTAGGTACTAAACTAGTGCAGACAAATAATTATTAGGGAGTCTTATTCAAAGACTGACTCAGTGTTTTTCATTTTTTCATAGTTTGGTGCAGAAGGACCCATATAGGAAAACAGCTACAACACCTTGATAGTGTCCTTTTATTTTATTTTTCTCCCAGAAGACTGATTCAGATGAACGTTTCAAAAGCTGAATGTAATGCCAACAGTTTAAAAAAGGACAAGATGTATGCGGATTAATGAATTTATATATATATGCATGTATATATATGTCAATGAGTGTACACAATACCGAACATCCACCCGTCCACTCAAAAAAAACCATCATGCTCTGTTTGGATGTTATCATGCGTCATAGATCATGTGACACACTCTTTAAAATGCTCACAATATCCACATACATACAAACAAAAGAAATTTCATGCATCACCTCACAAGCCAACTTCATGGAAACATCCATTTTGCTCATCATGCTAAAAAGCTTTTGTTTGTTAGTTTGTTAAGTGATGCACCTTAACAGTGATTTCCCCTAGAAGTGGTTTTTTATGTTCATGGTGTTTTGTTTAGTTTCAAGGGAAGGGGAAAGAGATTATCAATACTTATAACAGAAAAGTCAATAAGATGTAGTCATATCAAAAGTGCTATAATATTTCATCTGATTTGATTTGTGCAGTCCACTTAAAATCTTGACATTAATGAAAATGTAGGCAGTAAAACACATATTAAACACAACAGGAAAGGCGAAATATGGTTCACGAGCTAGCAATGTAAATGTTACAAGCCACCTTACTGATATAAACAAGAGACTGTAAAATAAAGATGAAAATGAGCTGGAGATCTAGTCACACTATGCTGGGATACAAGCTTGAGAAAGTTCTTTTGTGGTAACATAACTTCTCAAGTCGTATCCACTAACAGCAGTGGTTAGTGACTAGTAATTGCATTAGAAACATCAAAAAAAGAACATGATGTCTGATCGTCAGTGACATTTTCTCTAATTAGTGGATTATGAAGCACTAATTATGGTATTCTCTAATCCAGGGATAGGCAACTTGTTCAAGCTAGATCAGAAATTTTATTGGCAATCTCATTTTCAAATATAACTCTGCAGCCATCAGAAATGGCTAGAAAGTGTCTTCTTTTCTCCCCATCCCAAATGAAAGCTGCTAATTGTAAGATTCTAGCAACAACTCAGATGGAGCTTCAACAGTTGCTTATTCCCTTCTCAAGTCCATGCAAGGAAAACCCGTTTGAGAATAAATCCAATCCAACACGCACAGCCATCATAAACAACAGATCTAAAAAAAAAAAGATTTTAAAAAAACCCCACAGAAGTCCTCAAAACATTCTTGACATCTCAGGTATGAGCAGCTGGAAGATGTTCTGAAAGAAGTCTAAAAGTTCGGTACAGTGGTCAACTGACAGAACTGGGGTGGAAAGCTTCAAGTCTATGTACCAATAGGGTTCTCTTTCCCTTTCACTGAGAGCAGAAACAGATGAGATGGCAGCTTTGCAATGAGAAACTGATAACATTTTATCATTCCAGAGATGTTTTTTTCACAGCTCCCATTTCTGCACAATCAACATGCAAACAAACTACAGTTTTTGCCTCCCTATAATGAATCACCACAGAAAAATGAGATAATGCACAACCTGTGAAGCTGATGAACAATGTTGGAGGATGATGAGAAATCCTTTACTTCTGAAGGCATCTCCAGTTCTAAATGCAAAGTTGTAATCTTTCCTTTTTCTGCCCTGAGTCCCTGTGCTGTTTTTGGTCTGAAACGAAGGTTCTAGTCTGGTCCACCTGCTATGAATGTTAAGATGGAATCTGTACCCATTACTTTTCATTCCCAGTAACAACCTTAACCAGAGAACCAGTGCTCATGCACTGGAAAAGTGTATGATGAAGACTGAGGAGCAGGGTAGAGTACTTGACTATATGCATATTTAAATGTATGGAAGATAATGTATACAAGTCTCTAGAAAGGACTGTGTCAGACCAAGTTCATTTAGTAGTATTATCACATATACTTGCCTGAAGTCTACGAGTCAACTTAAAAATAGCTGTTTCCAGCTGGACTCGTGTTACAGAATGATAAAGGAGAATGCTGAGAAACAGAAGATGGGTCAAATAGCCAAATGTGTTTTCCTTGAACTTCAGTAAACCTTGCATATGTATAGCTTTAATGCCACTGTACCTCTGAGAGTAAACATCATTTCTGGGGCTTGGAGGCGGAAACGTGCACTGACCCTGCAAAATGCCTCCCACCGGAAGGTATATGTCCTCAACTTCAGCTGACTTCTGCACTTGAGGAAAAGTGCTCTGCAGGATTTGGTTACTAATTAAATAGCCCGCTACAAGCTTCACTAGTGAATGTCAATGCTGGTTGGCAAGACTGGATGGAGAATGGAATTTGAAAAGAACAGAAAAGTGGTGGTTCTACGTGTATACCTTATTTCCATCAGGGTTGTGGATTACGGTACTTTGGGGCTCCTGAGTGAGAACAAAATAGAAAGAGGAAAAAAAAACAGCTCTAGGTAAATAGACTTCTCATTAGCAAGAGTGAGAATGAAAAGAGCCAGATGACAAGTGTTAAGCACTGGCAAGAGCTAAAGCAATGTTAGCTGCTGCCAAAGGAGGAGAAACGGCACTCTAGCTAGAGAGGCCACCCTCTCTACTGTAGCAGCATGCAAAGACCTTATTCATCGTTAGTACATATGCAGGGCTTTGAAGCTCTAAAGACTTACAGAGGCACTGGCTCTTTCGCAATGTGCAAATGGTTGGCTTTACCACAACCCATATTTTAGGTAACAATTTCTATTAAGGTGGAGGATATGGTTAACCATCATTTTTGTAGTCCACCAATGTCAAAAGGGAATATAATGGTCTAAGTAGTTCAAAAAGATATATATTATACAGGATATAATCTGGACATTTATGATGAAGGCTAACAGCCTTGAAATTCTTCATATAGAAAAATTGAACTTGTTGGACTGCAACCCCCATCAGCCCAAGCACAGCCAACGGTAAGAGATACCAGGAGTTGTAGTCCAAGAGCATCTAGTAGTCCCCATCAATTGACAAAAAGATTTCAAAACTCTTCTAAAGGTATTTGGGGAGGATCTGGTAGAAGAATCTATAAGGTCAGTGTTTCTAAGAGCAGTTATCAATTAAGTTCCCGAAAAACCCACAACAACCAGTTATCAATTAAGTCTGAACATCTTGTACAAAATCTTGAAGGCATAGGACTCTTAAACCGCAAAATACATGCCTTCGCATGGCTTTACCAAAACATGGAAATTGGAATCTCCTTGATAACATGATAATTAAGTGGCAGGATTGAATTCTGAAGCTTTGTTGCACAGCCCTGAGAAATCAGAATAAGTAACAGAAGCAAGGTTATGATATAAATATCCTAAATCATTAGTTAAACATTCCCTGCAGAGCCTATTATGGAGCAATGGCTCTTACATATTAAAAGATAGCTATGGAACCTAATGAGCTTTAGAGCAGATGCCTCTTGATCCCACTAAGTGAAGTCTTACAAAGTCCTGCTGAGAAAGTAACGAATGAGACGCTGAATAAGGTCTACTTCATTTGTTGCCTAGCAATAATCTTGTTAGCTCACCCTGACTTTGACACTTGTGCAATTTGTTTTTAAAGAAGAAATTTTGTTTCACCCTCACTTATATATACCGATTTACTGAAACAGTTATCAGGTGAAGAGCTAAGAGCAACACAAACAGCACATTCTATTCACTGTTTGACACTGCATGCAAAGGAATTTAGCTACAGCTACCAATGCTACTTCCATATCAGCTTGGCTAATTAGAAACACAGTACCATAAGGAACTGCCTCTTTTAACAAAATACAACCCCCAGTTCCCAGCAAAGAGCGTAAAGAGCTTCAAATGTTTAGAAAGCAAAAGAGGAGTGTGAGGAAGAGAGAATGGGAGAGAAAGAAGCATAAGAGAGCAAATGAGTGAGCTAAGAAATGGAGCTCAGAAGCAAGGAAAAAGCCAGGTATACCAGCGCTGGGGTAGGAATATTTTCTTTGGGGCTGGTTACCACGTTGGTTTTGTTGTTTATCTGTAGGTGTGCAGAAAATAGAAACAAACAAGCCTTAGACCTCTCACAACAAATAGAAACCATATCTATATTGCCCTATATAGAATACCTATACAAAGATATAGATATGGAAATAAAAACTGGCAGAGAAATGAATTTATAAAAATTAAAAAAGAGCAATGATAAAAGACTTGGCAAGGAAGTATAGCAACTTCTCTCAATGCAGTTGAACAATGCCCTAGGAGGTGCTGTATAGACTATGGCTACAGCTGCATTAAGAGACTTTTCAAAGTAACTAAAACCAAACAAGAAGCAAGTAAAAGCAGATTTTGAGCAGAAATGCCTACATTTCCAGTGTTTTGTTTTTTGATTTGTTTCCTCCCATATTTACACGGGATACTCTTAAATAAATTGTACAAGGCTTGACGTTATCAGCAACAATGGAGAACCATATATTAGGGTCATAAAAATGTTAAAAGCTATTTTGGAGTACTTCCTTGTCATTCAAACAATGAGTTCAGTACCTACCCTCGAACATTGTCATTGAAATGCATCTACTATTTCAGATAAAACATATACGATGCATGCCGCTATAATGTAAAGTTGCCTATATAAGCAGAACACAAATATTAAAAAGGAAGCATCTTCACACTCTTGCTATTTAAGGTAGAGATGAACCTTACAATACAATGCAACTCGATGCTCTTTCTCCAGGTACAACTGGAATTCATGTGACCCAGAGTGCATAGTACCAGCTAAATATACGGTAATATGTATTTGAATATATCTTGAACATATATTGTAGCTTAAAGCTCTTCCTCTCCCCCACACCTCCATTGAGCCTTTGAAGTTAATGCAGGCAGAGGGACTGATTGCTAAACTAGCATTTTAGGCAGAATCCAGATGATTCAATAAGGACAATAGCAGTTGTTTCCAAATAAAAGAATTAGATACCCTGCAAGGGATGTATTAAACTGATTTATATAAAATGCTGGATGTACGTAGTAAAGGAAGACCCATGTTTGAGGCACATAACTGATCAGTTTCCCTGTGTAGACAAAGTAATCCCTCAGTCTAACTCACATTACAGGTAGTTGTAGTACTGAGAAGGAACTGATCGTAGAAAAGGGAGTTACATTGGCTTGAAGGAAACTATATCTGACATTTTAAGTGCAATGGAAATACATTGAATGTTTCAAAAGCCTGATTCAATATTTTTTATACCAATAAGTAAGTAAAATTTAATGATAATTACAACTGGCATAACAAAGTGTGGCAACACCTCCTGATGTAAAACCTTGCATCCCTTTAATCAGATCTAGTTATAAAAAGAAGGAAAAGACGGAGCTACATTTAAGCCAGATAGAAAGTTCAGCTGACCAGCAATACAGAATATTTACTGCTCCACTAACACAAAAAACAAAGGAGGTAAAGTATAACATATGTGGGGGGGAAAAAGCAAGGATGGAAATGATTAGCTATGTATGTCTTCGCTAATCATTTGTAAAAGTCAATGTACCATATCTTTAAAAGTACCCACAGATATTTGTTTTTCTGTATATTCCTGTATTGACTGATCAGGAAATACAGTACAATCATTCTAGGTCTTTCACTTGTCCTCTAAAATTTACCATGATCCTTTATAAGGGAAAAAAAAGACTGATAGAAAAAGATTTTTTCCCCCCGGAAAATCACAACACTGAAGGTGTATTTTCATCATGTGAGAGGTTCTGTGGCATAGCGGACAGGACATTCAAGAGATGTGAATTCAAATTATTAATTGGCCATGGAAACTCTCCAGGAAGTGGCAAAGGTAGAAAAATTCCTTAACTATCTAACGTATGTTGAAAATCCTATCAGGGTCACCATAAGTCAGATGTGACCTGATGACATGCAGCAGCATGAAAAATGTGAAAGCCCTAAATATAGACAGGTGTTTGGACACAATGTAGGATCAAACTAAAGAAACTGCTCAGCTCTTGTTTAGATTTCCTCAAAGTTGCATGCTTGAGTAATCTGACTTACAAATTAAGCCTGTGTTTATCTCCCAGTTTCAAAACAAAGAGAACAAATTTTCAGAATAAGGAAATGGGAAGCGCCAACACTAGAACCAGCAAATGTCTTTTACTATTGAGAAAAAATGAGCTGAGCATCTTGTTCTGTTTGACTCTTAAGAGAGTCACATCGCTGGAATTCTGCCTCAGACTGCAAAAATGTGGGAGTCAGTCCTGACACTTGTCGGAAGAATATGTTATTTCCTCACTGGAAAAATGTGAATATTTAATAATTAGACTGGCAAAATTGTAAGGGTGAATGAAGTAAACATTTTAAGTATAGATAATTCTGGAACAACATAACATGATGGAGGATACTTGGTTCTACACATGCCATTATGTCCACCTGTCTTCACCAAGAAAGCAAATATGATGTGTACTTAAAAATAAGAGGGTTTCATGATGCATTGAACAGGTTTACTACTACTAGCAAAGGAAATGGGACTCTTGGAATGGTAGAGTTGTAAATATGTTTGGACACCTGATACCACAATATTAAACAGAATGACGAATGATTATGTTTGTGTATAGTAGTAGCTCATTTGAAACCAGCAGCCCTTTCTGTTACTGGTACTGACAAAGAATATTGTTGATACAACAAACACAATAACCCCATTCACTTTAAACATTTATAAATACAGTTCACGAAAGGTGTCACCTTTATTCAAAAACATTCATCCCTCTTCAATTAAATACTTTTAAAAAACTGAACATTCGTTGGCTTAGATTTGGAATTACAAGAACATAAATGCAAAAAAAGGAAGGAAGGAAGGAAGGAAGAAAAAGAAAAAAATCACCTTTGTAGTAGGAGAAAATGACTCACTGTTAAAAGCAAAACCACCAAAAACAAACAAAAAAAAGTGACATGAATGTATTTTGGTCCATCAGGAAGTTGCATTACAAGAGACAGAAAATGACCACACGCAAAAGAGAGAAAACAGAGGAATATTGAGCAGGCATCAAATATTAAGTATCACTCAAGCAACTTTCATCTCTTAGAGAATATCCCTCTGACAGAAAATAACTAGATATTCCTTCTGTCCTACTGGGGCAGGAATCCTTCAAAAGTGTATCAGACCTTAAAGGTACTTCCTACATAGCCCATGAGACACAAACCGCACAAAGGATTACACACAAAATGTGTCAAACATTTCTGGAAATATTGCCCCCAGCACTACTGGGAAGTATTTCCACCAGCACATTTCACCTTGGTCCAAACTAGATGTAGCCCACATTATGCTGAAAGAAGTTAACATGCTTATTTTACAGCTATAGAAGAATGGGGGGAAAATCAAGATAGTAGTGCATGCAGAGGGTGTTCGTTTTTTTTTTCAAAAGATCCTTTCAGTGGGATCCTAGGCACTGCACTCCCCAGCTGCTATTAGCATTGAGGTGGAAGCTTCCATTTAAACAGATGGAACAAGAAGGGGAAGGGCTCAAATAAAGTCAATGAGTTGTTCCACAAATTCAACTGAGTAGGCAGAAAAGGTACCTCAATGGTAAAGCACACACTTTGCATTCAGGAGATCCCAGGTTCAATCCCCAGTATCTCCAGGTAAGGCTGGAAAAATGTCTGCACAAAGCCCCAAAGAGCCTCTGCCACTCGATCTTGACAACCATAGGCCAGTAATCCTGTTCACCATACAGCAGCACCTTTCCGAATTTAGCAACAAATCTTTGTGTATATATATTGCAGTCTTTCTCCATGCAAAATACAGAAGAACTTGGTAGTTTTCTTCAGGGTGAATTTGATTTAAATCACCTCATGATTTAAATCACTAGTCCGTAAGACTCAGTTTAAATCATGATTTTTAAATGTAAATACTCATTCTTGCTCATAGTTGTAATCTTTAATATTTGCAACCAGATGAAGATTTCATATTTAGAATAACATGTTAGATTAGCAAAACAGCTATATCAGAACAGATTTCAGTTTAATAGGTTAATCACTCATATTTGCAGAACTACTTAAATTTGTCTTATTTAACTAAAAGAATAACATTATATAGCACACATATTCTTGTATTTGCTTGAACATTAATGTGTCCATTATTTGTACATATAGTTGCAGAGCAACAAGGAGATTAAGGTGTTTTCCTGAACTTTGTTCATTTTATATCATTTTTATTGTAAAAAAAAGTTCATGTTCTCTCAGCTTGGATAACTTGGATTACGTAATTGAATTAGTTTACCAAAAATGTGAATGCTGCATGAATATACAGCTTCATGCTACACAACTAAGTACTATTTCATGCTGAATAACTTTTGAACTACAATGTACCTTAAATAGAAAATTATCTTTAGATTTTTCCTTCAAAAGCATTTCATTAAAATAAATTTGATTTAAATTTAAGAAACCTAATTTAAATTAAAAATGTGATTTTTTTAAAAGAAAGTAATCAATTTTAATCCACCCCTGCGTTTTTCGTGAAATTTCTTACTTATGTTGGTAAGATTTTAGAGCTGGGTGTATCTTATTTGCTTTGAGGAAAAATCAGTTACTTTAAAATTGTTGGTGTATAACATCGCCCCTTTCCCCCTTGTTCTCAGACAAAACGCAGACAAAGCTGGACAATATTATTTATGTCAGGAGCATTATTTTGTGCTTGTAACCACACTGACCACAATCTATCTTCTACTGAGGCTGGTGGAATGGCAAAGTTCCCATTGGTTTTAATATATGTCTACTATATTTTCTATGTCGGGCTTCACCTAAATGCACACAAGAGACAAACATTTAACAAATCTCTTTTTAATATAGCCAGACCACAATTTAAAAGTTGCCAGACATCAGTGTGACTTTTCTTTATCTTCCAGAGAATGTTAGTGCCCAGCAGCAAACACTTTTTCACCCACTCTAGTTATGAAAGTATCTATCTAGCTGGTCACAGTCAGTGAGCAGATTACTGAGCTACATAATTGTACTGAACTTATGTTCTAAATAGCTCAGTGAGATAGGTACCTGGCTGTGGAGCCAGAAGTTGGGAGTTTAATTCCCTACTGTGTGTTCCAAGAGAAGAGTCAGCCTGGGTAGTCTTGGGCAAGCTGCACAGTCCCAGGGTACCCCCAGAAAAAGAGGATGATAAAATACTTCTGAATATTCTGTACCAAGAAAACCTAGGGAAGCATCGCCATAAGTCATAATTGACTATAGTTATTAATGTCAATAAGTTGCAAGGTTCCATACCAACCAACCCAACTTGAAGATTAATAGTATCAAAAATAGCAGATGGTGACTAATTTGCAAGACTAAAATGAATGAAACCTAATAAAGGGAAAACTAGCACACATTGTGTTTTGAAGCATGGGATAATAGTACATGATGGAAATACCTTTGTGCAAGAAATTTGCCTCTTAGGCTTTGCTTTAAGCTTGCACATTGGTCAGATGTAACTCCAAGTGGAACATCCCCAGTACATAACACTGGAATGCTTTCTTGCCTGGATTCTTCACATTGCTAGTCAAGTCCTAGCTCTACTAGACATGTATGGCATTGTGCAGGGTTCGATTGCTCTAGGTTGGCTCTATCTTCTATAGCTAAGTATGCAGAAATGTCTGTGGGAATCCAGTTCTACCAACCAGCCACTTAAGTAGTCTCCATTGTTTAGCAGCAGAACTATAAAAGTTGGAAGAAGGAAGATAAAAAGCAGTAGTTTAAGCTGGCATTAATGACGAGATCTGGTACTTGGAGTGGTATATAAGCTGCAAAATTTGTGTATATGAGAATAGAGACCTACTTTCATTATTGGTTGCAAATATTGTCTAACACCCTTTAAAATGGGCATTTGTTTTAACAGCATTTCAAGAGGTGAAACTTTGCAGATTCTTATAAGATTCTAAGAATGTTTGAAGTGTCAGTCAAAGCACTGCATAACATGTTTAGAAGTCTTGTGAGCCTGAAATGTAAGGCGACTATAGCAAATATATGGAAGACTTTCAAACAACAGCACTATTATACTAGAACAGCGGTACTGGCCAACATTATCTCTATTTTACTTTTATATTTGTACAGTCTATGATCTTGCTCTAAAAGGACTGCAGACAATTAATTCAGAATGTCATATAACACTAAACCGAGGCAGAAATCACAAGCCTGCATTTAAAAAAAAAAAACTTGCAGTTTCCACATTACGTTAACAGATCTAAATGCAACTATTTCATCGCTAAGTGAGAACGTTCATAGGAGGAAAAATCTGGCAGATAAAGATCCTCACCATCATCTGAACACTCGAACTGGACTTCCTTTTCTGATTTGACCAGTCAAAGAGAAAGGAAAAGAAGAAAATGTGACTGGTTGGATTTGAAGTATCAATGCATGGATCACATTTTTTTTAGTTTTTGTTTTTTTTAAAAGCTAATATCCAGGAAGAGGAGAAAAATTCTTGTTGAGAGTCATATCTCCTGCATGAGGAGAATGGCGAAAACAAACACTTATACACAAAGGATATAGTTCCCCTCCCACCCCTTCACATGATAACAAACACAACAGAGAACACCAATCCTAGCAGACTCCCACAAAGGTAATTCTAACAAAGTACAGCAACAACTATAATCAGCATGACCATTTTAACAGACCAATTTTGACAAAAACTCATATAGTCCGTCAAGGAAAAATGGCATTGGACAAACCATTTGACCTGGGACCATGTCATACACGTGAAAAGAAATTCTGTTAAAGTTATGCAAGAGTAAATATTTCAAGCAGACAACATAATCCAGTGGAAAGGACTAAGCTGACTCTGGACTCCTTAGGATAATGTTATTTCCTACAGTATTCAAAAAAACGCAGGTTGTATTCTGACAAAAACCCTGCAGACAAGAAAGGAAATGAAAGGACAGAAGTCTTCTACTCTTCCAGGTCATCAAAGCAATACACTAAAATAGATCACACTAATCTTGGGATGTGCACTGGGTTCATAAGAGAAACATGTCGCCTCTGGATGATACAGAGATTGGCTGAACCCAGGTTACAAGGGTGCTTTGATATGATATATAAGAGAGTATATTGAATCCAAAAGAAATGCATGGTGAATCAGGTATTTTAAGTAAATATCACACTTAAGAGATAAAATTTCAAGGATAAAAGCAGAAGTGAAAGACATATTCCAATGCAATCTAGAAAAATATAAAAAACATATTCTTCATTTTAGAATGATAGCCAGAACATTAATGATTATTCATCTGCAAGAGAGATTAAAATGTTTTTCAATTGTTCCTAGTTATTCTACAGGACATTTACCTAGAACATTGTATTAGCAAAGCCACCTCTCCTGCTATACAAATTCCTGTGCCATTCATTTATAAATTAATTATGTAAGATAATAAGAAATACCTTTTTTTCTCCTTTACCAAAAATATCATATTTTACCTAACATGTTAGCCGAGGTCTTAAATCCAATGACTTCTGTCAATATGTCCCCAACAATATCCCCCCTAACATGACCCAAAGGCTCCAAAACCATGTGGTAGTCATCTGAGCACCATAGACTCCGTTTGTTGATTGCCTTTCCAAAATGGCCGTTGCTCCAAGATCAGCTGCAAAATGGTACCTTGGGTTTATTCAATCAATTTAAAAACCATAAGAGAACCAGTTATTTCAGTGCCAAAGCAAACAGAATTTAGAAAGTCATATGATCATATACAGTGAATGAGACATACTGCCGCATGCCCATAATATTTGTAGCCTACCTTTACTCCATCAGGTTTCTTCAGTAAACTCTTGGCTGCTACAAAATGAAATGAAAGAAAAAGTGTCACCTGACAAAATTCAGCAGCAATGGAACAGGAAGAAAATTATTCTTACTTATTTCTTCTGATGCTTTATAATTTTAGGCCTCAGATTTGTGCTAAAAACATTACCTGTTAATGTACCATTCTGTTATTGTTGTGTTGCAGGTTATGTGATTGCAGTTCCTTTGCTTTTACTCTAAACCTTTGCTTCTATCTCTGTGAAGCATATGCTTATTAACAGTGGCAAGACCTCATTACTGTTTGGAATTAAAACTCCAGCTTACATATTATTGGCTAGAACATTTATTTCAAATTATTTGTGTACATTCGTCTGTACGTGCCCAGACCTATAACAATACTCAAAATAATAGCCATAGCTACAGAAAACATTATGTTGACATTCCAATTATTTCTGGTGTCAAGGACAAAGATAAACTACAAATGACCATTGACTTCAAGAGCTTGAAAGTGGAGCATGAAATTCTCCACTTGAAAATGTGGCTGGAGACTCCATGCACAATCTGATTATAGGTGAAGTAGCTTTGATAGCCTAGGCCAAGTTTGAAGAAACTTTGGTTTTCCACAATGTTTCGGAAATCTCACAATCTTGTAGCACTGACCATGTTGAGTGGACTGATAATAGTTAGTTATGTAAACACACACACACACACACACACACACACACACACACACACACACACACACACACACACACCCCAACATAAGCAGGTTCCTCAGTCTTGGCTACATCATCTTAACCGACCAGATAGGCGGGATATAAATAAAATAAAATAAAATAAATCATGTCTGTGGCTCATATATATAGTTGAAAAGAGGCTGTAGGACTATGCCAGGCCACACAAGAGAAGGCAGTATGGACAATGAATTTGTTATGTTTTATAAACTGTCTGCCATAAAAATGTATCTAACCCGTTCATGTATTTAGAATGCACATTTTGTCAGTGGTGGGCTGAAAGCAAAGGATTATTTATAATATTTTGCATTATTTTGGTGGGTATTATTACTGTAGGATACTCAGTGTGCTTTAGTAATTGATGGACACACTAGGACTCAGGAGGCCTGGTTCTGAATCCCTCCTCAGCCACGGAAGCTCACTGGGATGTAGAACTACGGTAGTAAAACCACTTCTTAAATATCTCACTTACCTTGAAAGCTCTATTAGGGTTGCTATAAGTTGCTTCCGACTTGACAGCACATAACTATTATTACTGTATTGTAAATACAGCATGTCCAATAAAAATAGTCTTTTATTTAAGAATATGCAATGGATATTCCAAGGACTAAATGTATTTGAAATTGTATATCTGACAAGATGCTATAAATTTCATTCTTTGTTTCAGAAGCATTGTAGCACAATATACCAGAATTTTTGCTGAATAACAGGCAACATCGAGAGCATTTTCGGCAGCTAACATCAAGTCTTTCATGGTACATGCTACAAGGCATAGAATACACTGACATAGAGGTGAAGTTGCTTTTTTCCCCCTGGACTCACAAAAGACTGTCAGTGTGAAAATCCGATTTTCCTCGGTTCACCTTGGTTCTGCCAACTCCAGCCAGTAGCACGACTTCCAAGTAACCCAGTTCTTTGTGTGACTGGGGGTAGACTTTTCCGGGTTCCATCCATTTGAAACCAATTTTTGAGATAAAGGAATTCAAAATTATACTATAATGCTAAGTAAAACTATAATCATCTTGCTGCAAGTAAGTGTCTATGCAGATATTTTGCTTTGCCCTGAGATGAAAAATAAACTGAGGACCTGTTCAAACACTTACCAGCTGGGGATCTTATCCAGTATGGGGCCAGTAGGGGGCGAATGGGCAGAGCACTGAATATATTTACTAGTGTCTGCTTTAGATATAATATTTGCATACAAATATGCATGACGAATTTTTTTTTTTAAAAAAATCCCTTTTCTGCACAGGTTCAGTCCCTGTTTTGAGGAGAAAGAAATGTGCAAATACTATGTATACGTCGCCTTACATAGGTAATAAAAAGAATGGGGTGTGATATTTAATTTTTCCACTTCATGTAGAGAATCACACTGTCCTTATTTGCAGTATTTACCGTCTTGTCAAAAATAAATCCTTCCTTTTGAGAAGGAAGTAGGCTGAATATCTCCCTAAATGGATGAGGTAATATATTTGCAATGTCCACAGCACCATTCTTGGCACTGTGCTACAGCAGCAATCAAGTACAGTTGGATCACACATATTTTTATGCACCAAAAACAATGAATGGAAACAAGCACAAATGAAAATAATGACAACTTTACTAATCACTAAGCTTGGCAGATCTGTGACAGTCTGGTTTGGATGTAATGAGCATATGTTGGATTGGCTTTTGATAATTCTTTGGGTTAAATTTCAAAGCATATCAACCTTAACACTACAATAAGAAGAAATTTGGAATTCTTCCCCTTTAGCACTGCAATTTAGTTAAAATTTGTTCAGAGTGTGGCACAGTGACTATAGTGCTGTTCTTCCTACATTCAAACACAAATTCAAAGTGCTATGAAAATTACAGGGTTGACACCTGAATCAGTCACTGGCCTAGTTTGGATGTATATTTCCTACCTTCCTTGTCCATACAGTATTTTAGCAGCCAGTAAGGAACATCAGAGCTGTCTATTCTCACCTTCCATAACAAAAATATCTATGTTAGATTAAATAACAATTCTCTGTTACATTCAAGACAAAGGATTAACATCAGTTTACTAACAAATTAGTATGAAACTATATAAAATATTGCTTGGAAACTCTGGCCTAATTCCAACTGGTGATCCCAAACAGAATATAGCTGATGGCTGGAATCCTAGTGATACTCACGTAAGGTTTGTGTAACTTCCCACTGCTAATCATGGGTAACTGACAAGGCTCCTGTGTGCACCTTGATTGCATAATCAGGTACATGAGCAGGCACATGATGGTCCCACCTTAGCATCTTGTCAATGAGCTGCAGTGAGTTACATAAACCTTATACTAACACAAATACGATTCTGCCATTAGATAAATTAGAACTTGCTAAGGCAAAAAGTATGCAAATTCCATTGATCCAGTGGTTCTGCTTTGGACTGAAAGCCTGATTTAAATTGAGAATGAATCACCCTACCCAGTCTGGATAGAACAGAAAACTATAACTTAAGCTTAAGATTAGCACAGTGAGGAAGGTGGAAGAAGAGACTTGCCACTGACATCTGTCCCCAAATACTGAATTATGGTTTAGGAAGCAAGGCAGTACACATCCTAACTGGGCCATTATCTCTCATCCTAACCTATCCCACAACTTTGCTAGAGGCTAAAAAGATACTTAGTGAAAAACTGTGGTGTGGATAAATTCATAGTGGCAAGTTTTATTAAATATATGACATTCATTTGCACTGTTTGATCACAGTGCCAGAAATCCACAATGATACAGACTTTAGATAATTTTCTCAAGTACCAAGGACCTTTTGAAAACATCCTTGTTCCTTCTCTTTTTGGGGGTATATGAAGTAAAATTAAATTTTATATAATCCTAGTTAAATTACAGCAAAAGTCCTGCTTCAGCACTACACTAGCTTTATTTATTCCCAATTACATCAAGACTGAAGTTTATAACTTACACATATGCCAATTTTTCGAAATGAAAAGGATGTAAATTTAAATAAGGACTAATTAACACTTGGCTAATCGAACCCAAAGAAATGGAATTGGGGCTGGAACTAGATGTTATTGGAACCTTATGGCTGCTGCCAGAAAGCAGCACCCTTGTGCTTCTCATGGCCTCTCCCAGGTAATGTCTAGTACTACAAAACATGTGACATGATGGCACCCCACTATGAGTTTCCTTCTCCCACAAGCAGCAGCCAATGTTATGTAGCTGGGGAGAGGAAACTCACAGTGCGGTAATGTCACATGACTTCTATAGCATCTAGTTCCATCCTGAGGCAGCATACAAAAAAAAAAACACAGGGTGATTTGGGACAGCCAGCAGATTGCTAAGGAAGTTGAAGGGGGAAAAAGTTTTTTTATCTCCTGAGGGGCTTACCTCACAGGAAACATACATTCCACATTACAGGAAGAACACAAAGGGGGAAAAATTAAAACATTTTTAATGAATATATTGTTACAGACAAGTTACTAAAAAGGAGGGTGGGAAAGCATGCGGTGCAGCAAAAAAAAACAACCACTGAACAACTAAATTAGACTGAAATATCTTTGCAACAACTGGATGGTAATTTGTATTAAAATAACTGTTGCAGTCAGGTGACATACTAAGACGCTCAAAAAGAATGAATCAAACAGAATATGCCAATTCAAAAATCATTGGGTGAATCAATCAGATAGGTTTATTTTAGAAAAAAGAAACTGAAAGGCTGAGCAAAAGAGAAAACAACATAACAGTAAAGAGACTAAGGGCTACCAAAAGTGACTCAAGAGGTGTCTAAATTCCAAAATTGTTACAAAATGGTGGTAAACCATCTGGATTTGCCCATGTGAGCAGTACAAGAAAAAAACACTGACAATCTGATGTTTGTCATTTGCATACAGCTTAATTCTGATCAACTTGATATCTCTGTGATCTCATCACATTTGGTGTACGATCACCAGTGAGTGGAGATTACCTGTAGATGAGAGAGACAGATTCCTTCCCCCAGTGCTTCTGAAGCAGGAGCAGAAGCGGAGGCAAAGACTGAACTTGGTGAGCATTTCGAATTCAAGAAAGATAAGGAATATCTTAACATGGTATTACTCTAGCATGACAACACAGAGAGTTGGGCCACCAATGCCTTTCCGTTTCTACTGTCTCTAATATACTTAACTCTTGCGCTGAATTCAAAGTACACCAAGTCAGTACACAAACTGCACTCTAAAGGGGTACGGACAACAAAAAGCCCATCAACTGCTCTCTACTTTCTCGGTCGCCTCTTTCATCAAAGGGAAAGAGGAAAAGGAAAAAGCAAACACCAGATAACTGGGCAAAGGAAGAGGGTGATTAAAAAAACAAGCAGGTTTTAACAAAGCTATGAATGTTTCACTTTTCTTCACTGTATTTACACTACTAGAAAATCAACTGTAAAATCAGAATTGTCAGCTTTTACTTCATTATACACAAAAAGATGGAACATGGTCAATACATCCAGTCTAACAGTCTATCAAGAAGACAGTAGGCAACATGTGGTCCTCCAGATGTTATTCAACTGCAACTTTGTTGTGGCCAGTAACTGTGATAGCACTTGCAGTACAAGAAGATTGGAAGAATCACAAGTTGCCCATGTCTGATATAGAATGACATCCAAAACTCTATTCATACTGGGAGCGTCTGAGGCTTTTAGCCAAGAAACCCTGATTAGCACAATTGCTCAAGAGACTTCTAGAATAAATATGAAGTATTAAATCTGACAGCTTCGCAACACATATTGTGTATACAGAGAGCACAATCTATGCCAAATCTGTAATAAAGGTTAATCATAACAGATGCTTCACAAATTGATTAATTAATTACTTTAATTGCCAGTTCTAGCAGTTATAATGTAGAGGCTTCGTACAACCAATATCTTGTATGATATAAGACAGACATGCCAAATAATTCACTGGGAAGGACTGGCTAGACATTGAATGATGCCATTCAACTTTCTCAAGAAGTCATTTTTGTGAAAAATGTGAGAAATGACTTGACAATCCATAGCTTTCCAGTGGCAATCTCCATAAATTTTGGCAGCCATTTCGCAGCTGCAGTAGTCATGGAAATCTCTTCTAGATAGCTGCAGCTTTGCTTGTGTATTATCTCAGTTTTACATTCTTCACAAGCAAAGGATCTCTAACAATCAGTAAAAAAAATAACCTGCAAAGAAGTTATTTCTTTCTTTATAAAAATAAACTAGATGCACTTTTGAAGACTGTAAACTACGGCACTTTCAACTTTTTAAAACCATTAGCAAGATTACCACTTTCAAGTTCCTCAAGTGGCACTTAAAGACTTGATGCCAAACAGGTTGCTTGTCAAAAATGCAAATATAGCTCAAGAGCATACAACTGAAAAGAAAGGGCATTTGCTCTAAGGAGGTTCCTGTCAAAGTATTAAAGTAAACTTAAAACAGAACAAAAGAAAAAGAAAAAGTAGACCAATGTTAGCAATGGAACAAAATACAACAACATGAGCTAGCTCCCCTCTTTTTGATTATTTTCTAATCTCAAGAGACTCTGCAGTGTTACACAAATTATAAACATACATTATTACTTGGCTATCTGCTAAACAATGCCAGAACATCTTTCTGGACATTTTGCTTATAAGAACTATAGCATAATAGGAAGTTAGAAATGACTAAGAAGGGGATTAACAAGCTGGCCTCTTTGCATTTTTATCTCACTGTGCCTACATTTGGACAGTGTACAACAAACACATACACACTAAATAACTAAACTAAGCTGTAGTGCAACTGTAACTATATAAGTAAAACATAGACCAAAGGTGAGCTATTTCAGCAGAAATTATAGGAGTGAAACCTTACAGTTATCTGGATCAAACATCAGCAACTTGTCTACGTAGGACCATACAGTACACTGAACATACCTGAAAAATTTCTTGTAGCCAGCATAGTTGTCAAAATGGCACCCTGAAAATACAGTCAACAAAAAGAACTTTTAAAAAAAATTTAAACAAAAGTATCTTTTTTATTTCTAATTGTAGACATCTAAGTGCAGGGTAAACTGAGTCACATCTAGGGAATGTGGGCCCATCCAGATGGTACTGGTCTGCAGCTCCCATAAGCTTTCAATATTGGTTGTTCAGAGTAAGGCCAATGGGAGCAGCAGTACCGCAACACCTGGGAAGCTGCATGTTTCCCAGGCCCCTGAACTAAGCGTACTAATTACATGCCACCAAGTTGATTCCGACTTACGCCAACCTTACCCAGAGGCTTCGAAGTAAAACTACTCAGAACTACGAGGCTTTACATTTGCCTTTTCAAAATGACTCATGTGAATGTGTAACATGCAGGGGTTTGTGTGTCAAGTCTTGGAGGCCTTTAAGAGAAGGCCTATAAAATTACAGACAGATTATCTCAAGGGACTTTGTAGTCATTCTGAGTTATTCCTGTCATCATTATCATCATCAGTGTTAATGTTTTTTTAAGGTTAATATTGAAGAATGCAAGCTTTGCTCTTCTAAATTTGTCACTTGTTCTCTTCTACACAGAAAAGTGAAAACAATATGCAAACAATATTTGATTATACTAAATTAAACATGGTGTTTATAACAAACATGCGGAATGTATGTGTGGTTGTGTATTCACTCTCAGTCACTCCTGACGCACACAGAGAAAGCAAATAGATTTTTTTTTTCTGGAAGATGCACAACTTTTCAGGGCTTAGAAGTAAGTAGATCTCAGGGAAGCAGGAACCCTATTTCATACTTGGAAATGATTACTGGATATTTCAGATAACACAGAGAACAGAGACAATGTCCTGGAACTGCTAGATCAGTATGGGCTAAAGCCAGCTATTAGTCCTCACTCTCAACAGCGTAGACCTATTTAATCTGTGGAACTTATAAAGAACCTGTCCAGATGGGTATACAGCTCACTATTTGGATACGGTTTTGGTTCAAATCAACTTATGGTGTTCACACATGTTTTAACTTAGAGTGCTCCATCCTGCCCCTTTTTAGAGCTGACATATTAGTTTCCGGGACAGTGCTAGAGCTTCTCTTTTTTTGGCATGATTCTCCAAACTCCTAATTATCCTGTTGTGTAGCCTATGCAAATGGATAGTTTGCACTCAGATAGAGCTGAGGGCAGTGTTATCTGACGTGACAACACTGCGATGTAGCTGATGGGTTGTGGCACCGAAAGGAATGATGGGAAAGGTCCCTCATTGTTTTCATTTTCTTTAGGCTCTTAGTTATAACTTATGTAAGTCCGATCAGCTACAGCCAGTGAATCAACAGGGATTTGGAGAGCCAACTCCTCTATAAGTTCCACAGTTTCAAATGGGCCTTCTCTAGGTGTGATTTATTTTAGCACAGTAATTCACAACTAGAGTAGACTCATTTGAATTAATAGAACTTACACAGGAGCTGACTCACCAAATTCCCATTGATACAATGGACCTACTCTACTGTGACTTTTACCATATTTTTCTGTGTATAAGACAGTACTTTCTCCTAAAACCATTACACTAAAAATTGAGGTGCATCTTATACATGGAAGTAAGCTGCGATAGCTGAAGAGAGAACAAAATGACACAGACCGTGCCGCTGTAAACAGGCTTCCTTCAGTCATGAGGTTTAGCTTCCTACAGTCAGGACACCTGGCTTCCTCCAATCATGAGTCTTATGAAACTGAGCTCAGCTGATGCTAAACAAACCAATTGGAACACACCTTGCTGGAGGTGGAGCCTGTAGGCTCAGATTTAACAGGGACTCCTAATGTCCGAGCATTCTGAGCCCAGAGGCTGAATACTCAAAGCTAAGTTTTCTTAATTTTGGTGTTAGAAAAGTGTGTGTGTGTGGGGTGTGTGTGTCTTATAAACAGGGCCATATTATAAATGGAAAAATACAGTAGTATGCTAAGCAACAGGATTTCAGCCATTGATTCTGTGAAAATGCTCCAGCTGTGACTAAAAATTGGATTTAGCTCTGCAAGTTTGGAATGCAGAAGATGGATTGATGGCTTTTTGTTCTGTAGAAATAGAGGTGGCACCAAACTTTGTAAATGAAAATAAAATTGGGGAAAGTAACTAGTATTCATGGTTGAAGGAAGATGTGGCCAACTGCAATACAAAAATTCAACTCCCTAAAACGTGGATATTTTTAAACAAACACTGATAATACATCTTAAAACACCATTACAACAACAACTATAAAGCACAAGAAAAACTAATTCTCTTACCTTAAGTTTCCTTCTTGCATTGAACTTCTTCAGGCAATCAACAGTCTCCTGTCTGTGCATCATAGAAGCAACAGTAGAACGTTGCTGGAGGGAGAAAAAAGAGCAGATACATCAACATATGCAACTGCATCCACAAATTTTATTCTGTATAACTTTTGTCCATGAATAATGTGTTCTAAAGCTGCTTTCAGATACCAATGGAAACTGTGGACTCCCCAAACAGTATGATAACTATATTCCCTATCACATGAAGTAGTGCTGATTATTTTAACAATAACAGAAACAACAAATAACAATAGAGCCTTTGATGTTTTGGGTAATTTTTCCTTTAAGATGATCTATGAGTGTGAAGGCTTTATATATTGCAGAGTGCTTAACTAAAAGAGTTGTATTGTCATTCAAGTAACTGTCCTTAAAGGTAAAGGTAAAGGTTCCCCTTGACAATTTTTGTCTAGTCGTGTTCGACTCTAGGGGCGGTGCTCATCCCCATTTCCAAGCCATAGAGCCAGCGTTTTGTGCAAAGACAATCTTCCGTGGTCACATGGCCAGTGCGACTTAGACACGGAACGCTGTTACCTTCCCACCGAGGTGGTACCTATTTATCTACCTGCATTTGCATGCTTTCGAACCGCTAGGTTGGCGGGAGCTGGGATAAGCGACGGGAGCTCACTCCATCGCGTGGATTCAATCTTACGACTGCTTGGTCTTCTGATCCTGCAGCACAGGCTTCTGCGGTTTAGCCCGCAGCGCCACCATGTCCCCAACTGTCTTTAGAGAGACTTAAAAATATGTGTCACATCATCCAACTCCATTTATTGAAACTAAGTTTGATAATTGGAACAATCAAATTTAGATATTATGCACTCCAGCTACATCAAAGGTGAACAGCAGAGTAAACAATAAAATATACAACATTTTTACATAGTTATATTTCATTTATACCACAACTTTCATCCATAGAATTCAGTGTGGTAGAATGGTTTTCCCCACCCTTCACACTTTAGGTGAACGAAGATTTGAACTTCATTCTCTCCAGTTGTAATCAGGCAGTCAAAGCAAACACTATGCTGCTTTTTACATAGACTCACAGAATAACAAAGTTGGAAGGGCCTATAAGGCCACTGAGTCCACCTCCCTGATCAATGCAGGAATATATTTATATGGACAGAGAACCTAAAGTCTTGAAGATAAGATATTAAGTTGCTAATGAAAAGGAGTGTCCAGTGAAGTATACTGAAAGGGTGGCAGTATTACAGTTCAGAAGACATTATCTAGAACAGTGGTTTCCAAACTTAAGTCCTCAAATGTTCTTGGACCAGAACTCACTGAAGCCTCCACCACTACTGGGAGTTGCAGTCCCCAAACATCTGGGGACTCAAGGTTGGGAACCACTAATTTAGAATGTCTAGGTCCTGACACCTATTAGGTAAAAGTAAATTGCTATGAGAATGGGGAGGACACCATTAAGTATAGTATAGATCAAATGCTTGCTGCCTTACATTAACTGGGTGAAAAAAATAGCAGAAGGCAAAGTCAATATATAATGATGGGGAAAGTGACAGTGCAAAACTATAACTCTGTTCAGTAGGTTCTTTTCACTTGGGTAATTTTAGAGTAATAGTTCCCAATCTTGGGTCCCCAAATGTTCTTGGACTAAAACCCTTAGAAGCCTTCACTACTAGCTGTGCTGGCCAGGATTTCCAGAAGTTCTAGTCCAAGGACATAAGGGGTCTCAAGATTGGAAACCACTGGTCTAGAAGAATAAACCAGTGGACCCAAATTCAAGTCAGCTTGAAGAATTTATCAAAACAATTGAGAATCACCTACCTAGATATTCATGAGCCTAGAAACAAATGTACTCCAAGTGAACAAGGGTAATCTACCTGTAATGAGCAGTGTACTTCAAAACAGAAAACTGACCTGAGAATTTAAGCAGCTATAAAAGGAAATTATTTAGGTGCACTGTGGTAAAACAGAAGGTTGGAGGGAGGGGAACCAAGTACTGGTCTTTGGATTTTGCCTCTCATCAGAAAGGACTGCTAACTAATAATATGCTGGTCAAAAGAAAGCAGCTTACACAGATCCATGGATGTTTGAGGGCCTCTGATGCATTGATACGTTTGGCAGGGTTGATTGTAAGCATCTTGTTGATAAGGTCTTTGGCTTCCGGGGTCACTGTATCCCATTCTGGTGAAGGAAACTTGAAGAAAGGAAAAAAATTAACATAAAATAAAACCAAACAGTTTAAATAAATGCACTTTATTTTTATTCTCAGACAATCTGAAAGAACTACTTCAAGAGCTCTTTCTTCTTTTTTCCAATCCTTGAATTTCTACACAACCAAAGACGAAGCACATTTCTAAGCAAAAGTTGGGAATGAGTCAAAGATTATCAGCCTGAGGTCCTTACAGGGTAAATTACTTAATGCATATACTTCGTTTCTAGTTTAGCTTTTATGGGCCAAAATACGAAAGTAGGCCCTTAGAATCAATGGGTATCTGGTGAATCAGCTTCACCAAATGTTCCATTTATTCAAACAGGCCTACTTTAACTGTGACGTACTTTAACACAGCAAGTCACAGTTAGAATAAGCTCATTTGAATCAATGGAGAGTTGATTCACCAAATCCCCATGGATTAAATGGCCCAACTCTAGTGTGATTTATTATGCTAAGCAACAGGATTTTGTCTAACGAACGCTAATGCAACAGAAGATAAGACACCAATTCCAATCCAAGTACTGTACTGTACTATGAAAAGGAGAGGAAGGAGGAAATGTGATATAAAGGCTGCATACAGATTTAATACAAAGTCACACTTTATTACTGTGATTCAATGAGGTCACATCCTTGCGCTCCCACTCCTGGGTGGATCCTAATGTGTGTTATAGAGCCAGTTGTATATAATATCTTCCTTTAATGGCAGATTGAGACAGAGGACAGGCCTTTATTGCCTTTTCAAATTCTCCTGAATTTTTAATGATTTTTTTAAAATAGCGTAATGTTGTGAGTGAGGAAAGCTGCTAATCTGCAAATGTACTGCTAGTGTTGGGTGTGGCTGCACTTCTCCCAAAGGAGCAGATAGTATAAATGAAGGTGCTGGTGTGATTCTGGTGACCAGAGATACTTTATATCGGCTTAGGCAACCTCCCACCCTCTATTATGGCAACAGAGGACAGGGTTTTAATGGATGTGCTGTATTTTTTAAACTTACTAATTGCAATTAATACTTTTCTTCAAAAAAACCTCTTTAAAACTTAATTGCATTTTAATGTTACAGTTAATGTAATTATGTTTTAATACATCTATAGCTTATTATGTTTTTATTTGTACCTGCTTTAGTGTTATTGTATGCTGCCTTGGGTCCCAGTTCTGGGAAACAGGTGGGATATACCGTATTTTTCACACCATAAGACGCACTTTTTCCCCACAAAACAGGGGGGGTGGAAAGTCTGTGCGTCTTATGGAGCGGAGAAAACAGATTATATTTTCCTGTTTTCTTCTCCTAAAAATGGGTGCGTCTTATGGAAAGGTGCATCTTATGGAGCGAAAAATCAAATCAAAATAAAGAAAAACATCAACTGCATTCTGTCTAAAAAATGCAGACTTTGTCACAGTCAATAAAATTTGTTACAACTGTATTTGACTGCTATAACACACTCTACATGGGGCTATCTTTGAAGACTGAAATGTTAATTGTCCAGTTATTTAAGTGGGAGGCGAGCAGTTATTTTATTTATTTATTTATTTGATTTATACCCCGCCTATCTGGTCCAAACGGACCACTCTAGAGCATACAAAACCAAATCTGTAGCACCTGCAGTGATTCCAATTTCATGTGCTAGCCTTTGTCTTTAAAGCCCTAAATGGCTTTCAACCAACTCATATGAAGGACTGGTTCTTCATATGCAAACACACTTGTGTGTTATCAACTGTGGAAACCCTTTTGCTAAAGTATCTTAGATTGTGGGCACAGGAGACATGGCCCTTTCAGTGGTGGTCCAACTGATATGGATTTTTTTTTTTTAGTATGGAAGGCACAATTGGCCTTCCTCACTATTTGTTTTTAAAACCAATTTGAAAACTCGGCAATTCATACATTAATATATGTTTACAGTGGAATCATTATAAGACTGTTTTTAAAGCTAAGACTGCACCTCTTCCTGGTGTTTATTGCTGTTTGAAGTTAACTGGGAAAGGGGGGGAGGCTGGTTTGGTTTGGTTTTTGGTGCTATAGTGAGCTTTATTTTAGTCAGAACCCTACTATGAAATACACCCGTGTGTGTAAGGGAAATTGCACAAGCAGCTTTTGCAATGTTCTGTCCATATGCTCAATGCTCTGGTGCACTAGAAGATGCAGCCAAGCATGTCATGTGGGTACATATGAGCATACAACAGATAGCCAGTTACACAATTTTCGATTCATGCTGCACAAACTCAGCAGATATTGGCTACTATCTTTAAAACTGTTCTCTGATTTTCTGTGTATGTGTGTTTGTGTGTGAAGTCTGATTTTTGTTAGCCACTTTAAATATATAAATGAGACAAAATTTATACCTTTGGGTAGTGTGGGCGGCATATAAATTAAATAAATAAATAAATTAAATAAATAAATAAATAAAATTATCCAGAAATTAGTTTTGATTATTATTTAATTATTTGAGATATATTTAACCTGCCTTTCTTTTATTTTATTGTTCTTGTTGTTGTTGTTGTTGTTGTTGTTGTTGTTGTTGTTGTTGTTGTTGTTGTTATTATTATTATTATTATTATTATAATAGGCAAGAAATACAGTGTGTAAACATGTCTAGATAACAAAAAGAATATTAACAATTGAAGAAATGAAATGGCAGTCTGGAGGGAATGGCCAAATTCTTGCTTGCTGATTATTGACTGACAGCAGTCACATAGGTTTCATCACAGAGGCAAGCAGTATACCTGTTAGGTTTGCAAGACTGGCTCTGTTTCTGAAAGTGGGTTATTATTTTATGAAAGGCAATTTGCACAAAGGACTGCTCGGGGATGACCACAAAGATAATCATGCTGAAGAACAGACATTTGTCTATTTGGAAACACATTACTATAGTCATCATACTGGAATGAGCTTGACAAGGGAAAAAACACCCATCATTTCAAAATGACTTTTGGCTGCTGCTGCAACAGTGAAAGGTGTTCTCTGAGAAGATTATAATGGAATTCCTATAGGCAGTACCAATATCTGCATGGCTCATTTCACAATTTTCTATCTCAGACACACACACACACACACACACACGTAAACTTCTAAGTGAATCAAGAAAGGGAACAGCTGTGGGAATCTGTGATAGATCTCACTGAAGAGCACTGAGAGAGAAAGGAGATGGTGGCATAGGTGAGAGTGTTGGGAAAAGGCCCATTGAAGAGGCAGAGGCAATAAAATGTTGCAGAGAAAGGACAGCGAGTTCACTCTGCTTAATGGTAGATCCAGTTCTACAACCATGTTTATGTGATCTGTTACTGTATAGACTTTAAATTTTTTAAATACGTTGTTATTGTAAGATTAATTTCAAAATGTACTTCATGTGCGAAAGACCTCCCCCTCTCCCTTCCCCTGATGTTACTACACAGGATCTGCCATCTTGTAGATTCACAGATCACTGCACATTAATTTACTTTTTGTGATATGTTGTGAGTCATTTACTAGTCACTCGTGTGCTGTTATGTGGAAGAAATGGTAAAGCATGTAATACTACTCAAAAAAAAAAAAGAAATGTACAGGGGAAAATGAATCACAGGAATGACTAGGGTGGAGGAAGAAATGACAAAATCATGAACTGTGCATCTTAGGTTGTTTATTATGGAGAGCTGTCACCTGTCTAAAAAGGTGGTAGTGATAGTGGAATTAAGATACAAGCTACTCACATCATAGGCACCAGCCTTGATCTGTTGGTAAAGTCTATGCTGATCTTCATCCCAAAACGGAGGGTACCCCACCAAAAGAATATAGAGAATGACACCTGGAAAACATCCGCAATAACATTAATTTGATTACTCAAAATAACCCATATAAATACTCTCTGATGAGTTAACATAGGAGATGTCCTGACTTTCAAAGAAAACAAAATCTAAGGCGAGCCACTGGGTGCCCCTTAGCACAGGTGGAAATAATGTCCTTGCGGATTGAAAAGAAACAGTTATCGTATTTTTCGCTCCATAAGACGCACCTCTCCATAAGATGCACCAAATTTTTAGAAGGAAACAGGAAAAAAATCTGTTTTCTTCTCCTAAAAATTGGTGAGCCTTATGGAGAGGTCTGTCTTATGGAACACAACCTAGGACCCTTTGGAGGCTCACCCAGACCCCCTGAAGGCCAGAGGGGGCAAAATCACCACCTTCTGGGCACTTTTAAGGCTTGGGAAGCTTCAAAAGAGCCCCAGAAGGTGGCGATTTTGCCCCCCTGGACCTGTGGGGGGTGGGGGTAGCGTGGCAAGGGTCCGAGGGGGCCTTCCAGACCCTTGACACGCTACCCCCCCACGGGGCCAGCATGGGCGAAATAGCGACCTTCCAGGACCTTTTGAGAAGCTTTCCAGCCTCTCAAAAGGTCCTGGGAGCTGGCGATTTCGCCAGGGCTGGCCCCGTGGGGGGGGGAGAGTCGC